TTTCAGATTCAGTTCAGCTCATGAAAAATGGGAGCAAAAACAAAAGTGTTGCGTTTATATTTTATATGTATTATAAATGATAAAGGAAATTATCAATTGTTTAAAATCCTACAAGAAATCAGCTGGGTTAGAAATGCCAAATGTCAAGAATTTTACTTCACAGTCTTCTCAATTAAATCGCAAGTGGTAAAAATGTATTTTTACTTGAAGCCTTAAAATAGCCTAAAATAAAATATGACTCTTTTAGAGTCTGCTTGTTCAAAAATAAGAGCATTCTAAAAAAAAAAATCCCAAATGCTTTACCATGTGCTTCTTTTTCTTTCCAGGATTGCAAGATGTCCTGCCAGAGTTTCTGCGTGGGCGTTTTGTGGAGGCAGCCCTCAGCTACGTGGCATGCAACTCGGAGGGCGAGTTGCTCTGTCGCAACAATGACTGCTGGTGCCGGTGCTCTCCTCGCTTCCCAGAATGCAACTGTCCTTTTGCTGACATCAAGGTCATGGAGGAGAACCTGGAAAAGAGCAAAGAGGCGTGGAACAACTTCAACCAAGACTTCATGGAATCAGGTATGGGTTCATGTTTCTAAGCAAGCTGTTGAGCTGCAGTTGAGCTATAAAGAGGATGCTTTGGTTTCGTTTCTGAACCTCTTTGGAAGAAAAATGTTTCACTTAACATCTGAATGCGTATAAAAAGTTTGTATGGCGATTCAAAAGCCTGCTGAGAACTAATGCAAGATGTATTTTGGCGGTAAGTCTGCGGTGTGGTGTTTTGATTTTGATTCTCAGATGCTATATGAGGTCATGTCACTGTTGTCGTTGTGATGAAACCTGTAACACTTATGGGAACATCTCTAACATCCATCGAAAAATATGTTCCACTTGACTTGGATCTTTGAGGTTCAGGTTTGTTTTCTTCCAGCAGATATGTATGTAACACATATAACACACAGCTAGTGTGAGCCACTTACAGTCCAGAAGACAATTATCCTTCTATGCATTTAGTAAATCTAAAATAATATTTGAATATTCATAGACCACACCAGTCTGCTTTAGCACACAGTGTTGGAACCACAATCTTAC